TATCTTGTTAACTACTATTTAACTTTAATGTGGCAAATCGTTCTTTTTTTATAAAAATGAAGTGGCAAATGCACTTACATTCAACCTGATGGTAAGTGTCTAGTGCTACAGTCCATGACAAAATACATTAGAATAGAATATAAACATCAAACAAATTATAAATTGAAATCTTTTTGAAAAATTAGCAAGAAACCCAGGGGGACTTTTTCTTAAACTAAAATTTATCAATATAATACAGGTTGTACAAACTACTTACAAAACTTATTTGAGAAACAGCTTGGAGGCGACCACCTCATTCCCAGAGGTTATTGTTAACCATGAAATAAGAATTTATTTTATAATAACCCTTTTTATACAGCTTTTATATAATTTTAAAATTAAAAATTTTGTACAGCCGACCTCAATATAAGTTATTAAGAATAACTCAAAAACTATTGGTCTGACCTTGATCAAATTCATATGGGACCACACGAGAAGTATCAGCTTTCATACCAAAAAAGAATCATCAAAATCGGTTCACCCAGTAAAAAAGTTATGAGGTAACACACATAAAAAAAACATACAGTCGAATTGAGTACCGTCTCCTTTTTGGAAGACGGCAGAAAATATTTAAACTTGGTAATAGAGATACCTTGTATATTTTCTGGGGCTTTGCTGTAAATAGTATATACATTGCCCCATGAATAAATTACTGACTATGTGAAGTGGAGAAACTGGCATCACTAGCTTGTGTTTGTTCCTGCTGTTACAGAGTGTACACTGTACATCACTTTTTATATTAAAACTGCTTTTGTTATTGTAGACATACGTTAGAGTTTCGAAAATATACTGAGAGGCCAAATTTAATATATTTATTTCTTTAAAATTGTGTCTGTGAGACTGTCGGTTTTAGGTTGTAAATAACTTTTATGGGTCTGTTTTGAAAAACAAAAATAGTTTCAAATTACCCGCATTTTCCCGTAACAAAATCCCATACTTGCACTTAAAAGAAGAAGGCTATAAATTCGTTGCCGTCTCTGAGAACTAAGATGGAATGTCCTGTAATTATACTGGCTCTCCATCCCTTCTGACCGAACAAAGCAATGCAGGTGCTGCTATTTTGTGGTAAAAATTGGTAAGAGGGTGTTATCTACATAATTCATAATTCATTTATTACTTGTCACAAAGTATAAAGATGTTACAAAATAATGTTTTAACACTCAACGTGTCTAAAACTAAATATATAACCTTTGCCCATAAGAGTAATCTGCTCCCACCGAACTCTTTTACTATTTCTGCCCATGCCTGTGATCTGAAAACCATGTGCTCATGTCCCACTCTTGAAAGAGAAGAGAATATTAAATATCTTGGGGTCATAATTGATCAACATCTTTCCTTTAAACCGCACATAGAGACCCTTATAACCAGACTCCGAAAATTGATCTTTATTTTCAAAATACTAAGACAATCTGCTGACCGAAAGATTATTAAGATGGTGTACTACGCATTATGCCAAAACTCATCTAATCGAAGTAGAGAGAGCACAGCGCGCCATACTTAAGGTAAGTGCTGGTCTTCCCTTCCGATTCCCTACTGTAGACCTTTATAAGGAATGGGATGTTCTTACTGTTAGGCAAACTTTCATTTTGCATACTGTGCTCAAAACACACTCCCAGCTGCAGTATGATGAGAAACTACTTAATGATAAGCGCCGCAAAGATAAGGTATGTCGCACACTTCAATTTAAAACATCTTTCTCACATAAGTTCTTTTGCTTTCTTGGTCAAAATCTATACAACAAATTAAATAGCATCCTTAATATATATCCTAAAACCAAATTTAACTGTAAAATAACATTAAAAAACTATTTAAAAAATCTAGATTATGAAAACACAGAGCACCTTTTGACTGTACTTAAATAATCCTTATTTCAAGATATATCTACTCATAGCCGTTAACTCCATACTCGCAACACACATTCACATATATACACATTTACCCTGCCAAAAATCGCTTCGTACATACATCTGCACTCACACACTTATTGACACTTCACACCAACTTAAACAACTTATAATTTCTGCAACATATTATACATTCTTTTTATATCAATAGCTTTTATTGGTTTTAATTATGCCACTAATTCTGTCCGTGGGTTGGGGGCTCTGGTGACCTGTAATACAGGATTTTTTACAAAAACCTACTTCAGGCACCAGTCTCTCACAAAGCTGAAACTAATTATGGCAAATTGTTAATCTAAAAGTACTATTTGTGAAGAGAGAATAAATGGTTTATTATTATTATTATTATTTACAGAGCATGTGACAGCCTGTACGGGCGTAGTATTTTAAGACGGAGTTTAAATGTTAATTAGATTACAATATTTATAGTACATAGTCAAACTAAATAATACGCACGAAATTATTTTAAAGTTAAATGTCAATAAATATTTTATCTCAACTATTGATCATTCTTCATTCATGTAAATAAGATTTAAAATTTTGATGAAAATATTAACAATGTCAAATAAGTAAATAGAAATAATAAAATTTGTCAAAATAATTAAAATTTATTTATAATTTATCATTTAAATATTCATTTAAATTATAATAGCTTTTTACAATAAGTATTTTCTTACGTACTATTTCAAACGTATGACACTGGAGGGCTTTTATAATATTAGGTAAATGGTTGTAAACCCTTAAAGCCATGTAGTAGGGAGCATTTTTAAATATTGTGAGATGTGCAGTAGGAACAACCAGATTATAACCACGGTAACGTACGCCCAGTCAAGTCTATCTCCAATTCATTGAAAATAATGAAGATTTTTCCTAACAACGCGGCATTATTCAAAAACGTATATGCATGTTACAGTTAATAAGTTATATCTAGGGAACAACTTTCGACATGAATCTCTTGGAGCTGCGAATGTGATGATTCTAAGGCAACGTTTTTGGAGCACGGATACCGCGTGTACCTCGGTAGAGTTGTCCCAGTATATGATGCCATATCTTATCCTGGCATTGGCGTGGCTGTGGTACGCAGTAAGCGCACACTACTCGTTTGTATCCTTACGTAACTCTCGCAGGGCATAGCAAAAGCTGCACAACTTATTACGCTCCTTATTACGCAACTTATTCCATGAAAAATTTAAGTATATTATTATCCCGACGAGCGAAAATGTCCGAACTTCCTCAATATTTATACTTTGGTAACATATAGCGAGTGATATGGGCGAAACTGCATTACTTTGGTTTTTCAAAATTTAGTAATAAACCTAATACCTCTAATTTATCCACAATTATGCTACGGCATTGGGCTATTTTTTCCTGCAAACGACTGAGATTTTTTTTGTTCACAACTAATTATAACTGTCGCGTCATCTGCGAACAAAACCACTCTATGTGGTACTATTGAAAGGAGTTCGTTAATATAAGTAGAGAACAACACGCAACCTAGGACGCTATTCTGCGGCAGTGGATTAGTTCTATTTTATTTATCACTCTTCTATTTAAATATGGTACCTGTACGTACTGTTTTCTATTCGCAAGATAAGAAGCGAGCCATTCGGGTGGTTTCCCTCGTATTCCTAGTGAATATATCTTTTCTAGCAAGGGACCATGCAGAACGCGATCGTATGCTTTGGACATGTCCATAAAAATAGCTACAGCACATCCTCCCTTATATATATATATATATATATATATATATATATATATATATATATATATATATATATATATAAATATTTATGCCACATACAGTACTGTATTAATAACTACTGTACTATAAAATAAAATATACCCAACGGTTTCAAAAAAAAATTACAATTGCTATGTTTGGGTCAAAGATGTTAATTGCATTTTGATCGATATTTTCAGAAGTTTTTTAATCTGATTTGGATAGCAACAGAAATATAAAACAAATAAAAACATTTATAATTGTGTTAAAATTTATGTAGCAAATTTTATGTTCTCGTCGTACCTTATTATGTGATGTCTGTCAATAAGCAATAAAGAAAAGTTTACTGTGTCACTGATGTACAGCTACAAAAGGTCGTTTAAAGGGTAAAAGTTGAAGGTTTTATTAGTTTGTCATGTTAGATCCTTATTTTATTTTTATTAATATTCTTTGTATTAAATTATTTAACATTAAGTATAGAATTTATTTATGTAGAAAATTTTGTTTTGTTTTTTATTTTAATCGAATTTATAGTCAAAGGGTAATATAATGACACACATTATGACCCGTGAGAGCTCAGGGGCTTAATTGTAAATTTCACAGTACGCGAGCAACCCAGGTTCGATCCCCGCCGGCACCAATGAAATTGTTAATTGCAATTTCAAGTGCTGATTTACCACTTGCTCAACCGTGGAAGAAAACATCATGAGGAAACCTGCATGTTTGAGAAACAAAAAAAAAAATTCGAAGACGTGAAGACCGCCAAAACTCATTAGAGTAGAGCGGCGGACACTTTCTTGCCCTAAAACCTTCTCAGAAGTGATATGAGGCCTGTGCCCAGCAGTGGGACGTATATAGGCTGTAGCTTTAACTTTTTAACTTAACACATTATCATATCTTAACACTACAAAAGCACTGTATCAAGTCATCGATATTTAAGTCTTCTAAACATCTAGACTAAAGCTTAAAGATATACACTTCAATAAGAAAATCCGATAATGCAACCATTGTCAAGTATTGCATAATACGAGTATATATAAATAATATGAAACAAACTGAAGAGTCACAGAATTCGCGTGTCTCTTCAGTTTGTTTCAAGTTATATGAAGATAGATAGATATAAAATTAGACACAATGTCGTCACCAATTTTGACATTAATCCTTTCTGAAGTGAAAAATGAAATTTAGAAGCTGGGCGGTAATTTGATTGACATCGCTGATAAATTATTATCACTTGAGATATTACTTGATATTTTAGATAAGTTTAGAAGGCAACATGCCTCACTTAAAACCATTTAGTTATTTGTTTCACGTTCAAGTGAGCAGTAAGTCCCATTACAATGACTACATCTAATAGTTTTGTAGAACACAAAGAAAATAACACAATCCGAAAAAGTATAGGAAACATTATCAAAAGTGCATGTAGTGCAAAAGTGATAAAGAAACGTTTACCAATTATACAATGGCTTCCAAAGTACAACGTTACGCTTTTAATGCAAGATATCATAGCTGGAATAACTGTTGGATTGACCGCAATACCTCAAGGTATAGCTTACGCCGTCGTTGCTGGCCTCTCACCGGAATATGGATTGTACGCTGGTTTATTGGGAGGATTCGTATATTTATTTTTTGGAAGCTGTAAGAATATAACTATAGGGCCTACTGCGATCTTGGCGACTATGACAGCAAAATACGTGGCTGATTATTCTCCGGACTTTGCCGTGTTAGCGGCTTTTTTAACTGGAATAATAGCTCTGGCTATGGGGATTTTAAATCTTGGATTTCTTGTCGAATTTATTTCTATTCCTGTGATAAGTGGATTTACAACGGCTGCAGCCATGCAAATAGCTGGTGCACAGCTGAAGGCATTTTTTGGTCTTAGTGGAGGATCAGGAAAATTTTTTGCCGAGTCCGTATATAATTTTGTACGTAATATCAAGACAGCAAATCTCTGGGATCCTGTACTTGGATTTACTACGATTGTGATCCTTATATTTTTGAAGAAAGTAGGTGAAGGCTGTGGACGTAAAGATAATTTCATGAAACAGCTCCGATGGTTCACGTCACTGGCTAGAAATGCCGTTGTCGTTATCCTCGGCATAGTTGTAGCGTATGTTTTTAAAGTCACTACTGATAGTGAACCGTTAGTTCTAGTAGGTGACATTGGAAGAGGATTGCCAAAATTTCAACCACCACCATTTAGTACTACAGTTGGTAATAAAACATACATTTTTAGTGATATGGTTCAAGTGTTGGGACCACAATCGATCGTTTTACCGCTTGTCGCCATACTTGAATCAGTAGCGATAGCTAAAGCTTTTGCCGGAGGTATTCAAGTGGATGCTACTCAAGAAATGATAGCACTTGGTTTTTGTAACATCATGGGATCGTTTGTAAGAAGTATGCCTATAACAGGTTCCTTTACAAGGACAGCAATTAATTATGCCTCTGGCGTTCAGACACCAGCTGGTGGTATCTTTACTGGTTTTTTAATTATTTTGGCTTTGAGTTTACTAACCTCAACATTTTACTACATACCGAAAGCATCATTAGCGGGACTTATAATTACAGCTATGTTTTCCATGATTGACTACACAATATTTCCCAAGCTATGGACGAGTAGTAAACGAGAATTAGTTATTATTATTTTCACTATAGCAATATGTTTGTGCGTGGGGTTGGAATATGGTATCGTATCAGGAATTCTGTTAGAAGCAGCAATGTTGCTATATTCAACTGCGAAACCCTCACTAAATATTGAAATTGTTAAACGAGAAAATGGCGATTTAATTATTTTACCATTAACTGGAAACGTATCTTACTGCGCAGCAGAACATGTGCGGCGAGCATTATTGCAAGCATCACAGACAGCTGCTATGGATTCAGTCATCGTTGTTGATGGTTCCAACCTAAAGCATATGGATTCAACAGTAGCATCCAACTTGATGTCAATAGTTAAAGTCTTAGAGAAAAATTCTTGTCAAATATTGTTCTTAAATTTCAGTTCTGATTTCAAGAAAATGTGTTTAGTTCTAAATCCGACATTTGCCAATAAATTTGTTGTGGCTTCTAACGCTGTTGAACTCATAGATATAACACAAAAAAATGTTTGATATTTTTTACTTTAAGTATAGTATTTAAGACTGACTGATAAACTATATATTTTATCTTACAAAACATGTGTTACAAGTATTACAAGTCATATTTCATGAATATTATGTAACTACAAAATTGGAAATTGACACTTGAATTTATTGTCAACTATGATGTTATCTAATCTTAGTACTTTAGATTTTTTTATTATTGTGAATTTGTTATGCGGAGAAATTGCTGCGTCATGAACTTTAGTAAGATCTAACAAAGTGTTTAAGATGTTTTAATGACTGATGAAAACCAAAAAATATATGGTTATATATAATTTTGGGTATGGTAAGAGCTTTTATTTATTAAAAATGAGCACACCTCCATCTAGCTCGAGGGTAAAGATGGAGGTCTATGATGGGTTCGACCAAGAGAAGCTTGTTATATATTATCTCAGATGCAAGGCTCATTAAAGACATCTATGTTGTTATGATCTGAATAGTATTGATAACTGAATAACGGTGTAAATGTGTGAGGTGTAAATATATTGTGTAAATTTTATTTTATTCCCTTATTTGTAACCAGATAAAACAGATATCAATTTTAAAAATGACACAATTGTAAGATAGGTTTTATAAAATCTGAAATGTGAAACTGAAGTTGTCGATTTGATTTTCAATAGTCAATCAAGATACATGAAGGAACCACAAATTCTCGTGCTTATCTCAAATCCCCTCAGTTTCGCTGCTGCTCCGTTAAACGCGTCAAAGAGGGGTGTCATTCGGTTTTTTGAAATTTATTAACGTGATTCAGCATTTGCGAAGGTGGAAGATTTATGTTGTTATCGAATCAGCTAAATGTGCGAAGTATAGATTACCGTTTAAGGCTGTCCGTGACGTTCTCTTTGTATTGATAAACGTTTGTATCACTTGAAATTGACTTGAAATTGTAGTTACATTTTTCTGAACATTGCTCTGTATCTGTTTGGGGAGTTTAATTACTATCGGTTCTTCCATTACGAAGATAAGTCCGGATAGACAGACATACACAAAGACAAAATTTTTAAAAATAATCAATCTTGTCTTAGTGGCATGTAAATAACATCCCTCAGCGCAATATAAGACAGTTATTTCGATAATGAATACAGACCATTGAATTTTATCTACATGTATAAATATATTAAGATTAATTGCTGTAACTGTTAGAGTTAATTGCACTTGATAGAAATGTAACATACATTTATATTTTTATTAATATTTATAATATTCATAAAAAATCGATGTTAGAAGGAGGTTACATTATAATAATATAAATTTTCATTATGAAACCATGAAGTCTATAAAGTGACTTCATAATAAGTTTGTTTATTTGAACATAGATATTGATTTTGCCCTATATTTTTTAAACGTGGTAGAGCCATGCTGCAGCTATATTGTGGTTGCAGCACGGAAGGGTCGACTAAACCGGGGTAGGACCACGCTCTCACAGAATACCAGCGTAAAATAGCAGCTTAATGTTGCTGTGTTTCGTGTAGAGAGTGTAGAGAACCGAAGAACTTTTTACTGGAAACGAGGCATTCCACATCAGTCCTCAGGGGTGACAAACGCATAACACACTTACCATCAGGTGGACTGTGTGCTCGTTTGTCACCTTTATTCTATAAAATTAGTATGTTATCTATGATTGTTTTATAGCTATGTACTTTTGATTTTAAGACTTTGGCTAAATGAGTACCTCGAAATAATTTGATTAAAAGCTTAAAATGATGTCTATGAAATTTTATTTAATTAATTAATGCTGTTTTACATTTTATAAATACTATCAAAAGTGAAATTGTTTATTATTTATTTATATAGTACCTTGGCGACTGACCTTTGCTCTGCGTGAGAAAAAACTAAATTTTCTCGTGCGAAAAATATATTTAATTAGAACCTTATGTTAGTACAAAATTCCATCAAAATCGTAGCCGTTTCTGAAAAACCAATTCCGTATAGATATAGAAAAACACATTAATTATTTTTTATTTTAATAATTCAAACATATTAAACAGTTTTGATAGAATATTGATAAAAAATTATTCAAAATTATTCTGTAAAGTACTGTTTACAAATTATGATCGAAGCTTTTACTTTAGTGTTAATAATTTATAATTAAAAATTTTGTGCAATCGACTTCAATATAAATTATTAATAATAACTCAAAACTATTGGTCAGACATTGATCTAATTTCTGTAGCCACATGTGATTCAACAGCTTTTAAATAAAAAAAGAATCATCAAAATCGGTTCACCCAGTAAAAAGTTATGAGGTAACACACATAAAAAAACATACAGTCCATTTGAGTACCGTCTACTTTTTGAAGTCGGTAGAAAAGTACGTGTCACGGTATAATAGGAGAGTACACATTGGTGTACTCCATATCATCCCGTGGATATCCTGAGAGGCGTCAGACGGAAATGAAACCGGACATACGCAGCAGCATTCATGATTGAAACTCAACGTAATTAAAAACTACTGTTGCCGATTCACGTGCCGAGGCAATTTTTTTTATTCCTTACACATAAATTCATTGCTACTGGCCGGTATCAAATCTGGGTTGCTCGCGTACTGTTAAATTTACGACGTACGCTTAACTTATGAGGTATTAGGATTCATTTTAAGAAATAAAGTTGTCGAAATTTGTTTTCTCTTGAATAAAAATAAATCGCATTTTCGATCTACACTTAATCCAAGCCCAATCACATTGGTACCGGCAAAAATTCAGCTAATATCCATCCTACAATAAGGCATGTCTCGTGTGCACTCAACCTATGTTATGATAAACCGTCTGCATTAGTTCCGGACTGCCGACAGCAACCATGTTAATCTCGCCTGCCGTCTGCACCCACTCTTACAAACTCATCCACCGAAATATCGCGGGAGTATAAAACGTTGTTTACTGGTATCTATTATATGTTTGTTCTCCTGTATTAAGTGCCTTCGATTAACATGATGCTTATTTTATATTTATTTAATAATAAAACTTTTAATAAAAGCAATAGCCGACTTCAAAGAATGAACAATTAACTTTTAATAAAAAGTAAAACCCGAATTCAAAGAACTAAACAGAACAAAATAATTTCACATTCTGAAATCGTTGCTAAGATATATTGTGGAAAAATTAATGGCCCGACTTTCTATGAGAGAAATCCTTATGATAAAAAGAAGGTAAGCTGGAATGCACAGTAACAGATACATAGAAACAACCAAAACACCAATCATTTTTGTCTTTTTAAGATCGGCTTAGGCTATGATTCGAACCTAAAGATGCCATTCGTCATCGTTAATTATGTTACAGGCACACTAATATAAGTTGCTTAATACATCTGCCGAAATACCAGAAAAGTCTTATATCTACATACAGATGGCGTTATAACCAACTAGTTTAGTTTACATCAGAAGTGAAATAGACCGACAACGGGCAGCAGCGTGATTTTTTTACAGTAGCGTTAGGCGATCATCAAATGTTCGAAGAATAAATTTAAAAAAATGTATATTTACCATTTATATTTATTTTATTTTATTGTTATAAAAATTGTAAGTATACAAGTAGTTTCTGACATAATGATTTGTCAAACTGCAGAACAGTTTGTTGGCGAAATTACACTCAATGTGCGATCTTTAACTTATTTAACGCTTACCGTAATCTTATTTGTTTTTTTTTTTATTTAAACACCTAATACTACATATTGTCTACGGTCTTTAGTTTCTTTAACTCTGCTTGTGATCATTAAAGAAAAAGTAAATTATAATAACATATATAACATATGATAACATATATAAATACAGATACTGAAATGTATGTTATCATAATAATTTATTATGTTTCTAAAATATACTCTATATTAATAAAGGCCAATGTTTTTTATGTTGTATATTTATTGGGGTCGTTTTTCAAATATGAATCGAACAGGAGATCGGCTTTACAAATTTATTCATTTTTTAACTTTATCTGACATACTCGTGGGGATGGCAATGACACGTCAAATCACGTGGAAATAATGGTTGAATGAACGCTCCCATATCGGTCTTAAGCACCACTTTGTCTAGGCACCCCCCGTCCCCTGCAACCTTTGCGATTTTCAACGTTAAACGTTCTTTCCCCTGTATTTCAATAGGCCACTATCCACTGGACACAGAAAACTGAGTGGAGGCACCTTCTTGGTTCTTTTTTGTGTTAAATTTCGAACACCCTGAATGGAGAATAGTTTCTGGATGATTACCTTCAGTGTTATGTACTGATTTTGTTGTGAGGAAATATGTCATCTGTGAAAATCAAAGCCGTTTTATATATTTTATAAAGTTCTTATTGTACACGTAACATAAGTAAAATGCTTATATACAATTAGTCGTTTTTAGGATTCCACTATCAAGAATCCTTATTATTTCTTCCTATCCATTTTTGTATCTCGCAGCATGACTGCTAAAGATACAGACCAAATTAGATACTAAGAATATTCATATTGAAAGGTGTAGTAGTCGCGACAGACATAAATGAAACAGTAGATAGGCAGCAACATATTTCTGATAACAACTAAAAATAACAAAAATCATCTGCTCTTTATTATGTCATAACTTCTCGGAATAAATTATACGTGGTAGAGCCTTGCTGCAGCTATATTGGTAGTATAGTTAAGCATGAACGGATCGGCTCGAAGGAAGGACCACGCTTTGACTACTGTCAAAGCGTGGTCCTTCCTCGGAATATACCAGTAGTATACCAGCGTAAAATAGCAGCTTAATGCTGCTGTGTTTCGTATGATGAGTGTAGAGAAACGGAAAGCCTTTTTACTGGAAAAGAGGCATTCCATTTTAGTACTCACGGCTGACAACTATGGGATAGATGTCTATGGGCCACAGCAACCACTTACCAACAGGTGGACTGTCGTTTGTCACCCTATCCTATAAAGAAAATATAATGGATTTTAGTAAATTGCAGCTACTCAGTAATTGTTCCATTTATCTTTAGCCTTAATTTAACAAATGAGCACTC